TTGAGTCTGGATCTGGCTATCGCTCAAACTGATCGCATACCAGTGTCCGGCGTATTTTGTGAACAGGTTTTTTGGTCTTCCAACTTGCTGCCCACTGGCCGGCCATCCCTTTCCCGCATTTTGTCTCTGCTTATCTGCGGCTTTGTGGCATCTTTAAATGGCGTTTTTTCGCACTCACCATCGAGCGATCGCGATGCGGGCGTCGATGGAGACGGGTCCAGGGATTGGGACTGGAACTGAGTCTTTGACTTTGACTTCTACTTCGACTTGAACGAGGACTGGGACAGAACGTTCACTGATTTTTAATTATTTTGCACGTCGCGAGGCCGATGTTCGCCATCGCTCTTGGGCCAGGCCAAGCCAAGCCAGTCCATCCTTAGTTGCCTGCCTTCTGTGCCTTTCGTCACTTCGATATTGAAACACTTAATCACAATTTCGTTAAGGACACAACAAGACATACATGGAAAGGCCATCGCAAAATTCCAAAAATCTCATACAAATTACGAAAAGCAAATGCGAAGCAGCACAGCAGACTCTGAAAATCACGAAAATGATATTTCTACGCGCCGAATTCCAAATGATCGCATTCTCCTGCTCGCCCCATCGATAGGGAATTTTGTGAACACGAAACGCGAAATGAGAAATGTGAACTGAGAATTGCGAATTGGGAGAAACTGAAGAAAGATCGCCTCCCGCTGATGATGATAATTAATAACAGGGGGCCCGGCCAAGGCAAAGAGCATAAAAACGCTGGCAAACACCCAATCGTACGGCCAGAAAAAAGGCCAGATTCTCGGCCAATGGAAATGGTAATGTCTCGGTTCGAGACTCCTCCCGATAAGCAAAAAACAAAAAAAAGAAGACTAACCAGTTGGACATAATCTGTGGATGTTGAGAATGTCAATGTGAGCAGTGCACTGAGAGAGAAAATTAAGTCCCTACATGTTTAAAAATCTATCTATGAACTAGGGATAATTTAATACATTTCAAATAGAACTAGATGAGTTAAGAACTTAAACTTTCTTGTGCTTATAGTTTCCTATATTTTTGTAGCAAGCACACTTCTTTTCTCAGAGTGTGACAAGTGTGTGTACGATTAAGATCCCAGAAACAAGATCTCCGATCGATGTTTGCTACTCAAGTGATCAACACTCTACAAGAACGCTTAGCGCACTGACAGGAAACATGACAAGAACAAGGTCTGTGACAAGCTAAAGGGATCAGTGGAAATAGCTTATCCCGCCAGCTCCTACCAATTCCCACCGATTCTCATCTCATTCTCACCAGATCCTTCAGCTCCAAACCCAATCCCATCAGCGATTCCCATCACGCAGCATTCGGGCAAAAAACAATTAATGCCTGGCAAGAGAATCAAATGATATTTGGCCAAAGGACAGGACAGCGCCATGGTGCCAGGCGCAACCACGATTTATAGCCCGGGTGGAATGTGCCATACATCAGTCGCAGGATCAGAGGGAGCAAAAACCATTTAGCCAAAAGGAGCAGTGGTTGCTCCTGCTGCTGTCGATGATTAAAACACATTAAAAATCCAGTAGCCAGCCCGGGACAGGAGCTTTTTGGTCGATTTCCTTGGATGGCGGGGCCCCAAACTAATTTCATATTTTTCATGCAATTGATGAAATTCCATCAGGCCCCCAAAAAGACAGAGAGAGAGAGTGAGAGGGACTCCTCTGCGTCCTGATGCATCTGTATCTGTGTCGCAATCAGAATCCATCCCGAATGTCCGTCCACTTGATGGCCGGGGACTACCTGTTGCGATGTGTTATTGGGCGACGTATTGACGACAAGCAAACGTCAACCCGAAACGTCAGCTCATCATATCATCGATTGATGCGCATCGCCTCCCGATCTCCCAATCTTCGATACATCGATCCATCGATCCATCGATCCTCCCTTTTCCTTCTTTCTTACTTGTTTTTATTTTTTATTTTTGATTTTGGTGGAGCCTTGCATATTTTCGGGACTAAAACAGAAGCTCCCGGTGCTTGTTCTGGAATTTCGAGAGGGTTAAAAAAAAAGAAACAGAAGAACACGTCCCCAATGCGCTGGGCCTCTAATTTTGTCCAGATCCGAGAGGAATCTTCCCCGCATCGAGGTGCTGGTGATATTTGTTAGTGTAAACTGTCCATCAGCGTGGACCCAAAGTCGATGGTCTTGTTCCTCATCGGTGAAGCGACGTGATTTTGCGCTTTAATGAGGATTATTAAATGCGAGATTATTATGTGCTGCAATTACTTTTCGCTGCCACTGTGCTCCCCGAGCATCTTTTTTCGCTTATGCCTTTGCGGGCTTTTCTTTTTTGTTTCTTTTTTTCTGTCCCCCCACTTTGATTTATTTTATTGAACCATAAAAATGTAAATTTTCGCGAGACAAAAGACAAAGTTAATCGTTGTCAATTATGGCCTTTGACAGGTTAATATTAAAGTGCTTAGTTTGGGGGTCCCCAGCAAGGGGGCTGAGAAGTGTTCACCTTGATTGGTAGCATTCAGCGAGGATGATCGGTTGAGGAGATCAGGAGCGAACCGGCTTGATTAATGTCCCCCGGGGAATGGCTATTAATATGCGAAGCCTTCGGTAGGGATTATTTTGGTCTTCTTGTATCTTAAGATTATAGATCATGCTATAACTTAGAGATCCCTTCATTGAAAAGTCCCTGTGTCCCTGCCCCCCTCAGATGATGACTCATTCGGGGCATCAGTTCTCTCCGCTAGAGGATCAGCAACTTGTGGCATTCTTCGATCAGCCTTAATGCCAGACATTTGGTGGCAGCCCTTGAAATGTTTGATTATTTCGCAATTTGTGCCCGCTGGCATTTCAGTTTCCGGCACAGAGACAGACGCAGCGAGCGAGGGGCCGTCGGGGGAGCGCCGTCCTCCCCCTAAGGCGGGATGCGGAAACAGGGAAATCGGGAGGGGAGCTACCTGACCATTGACCATTGGGGAGGATATGGGAGCACCTCTATTAACATAATCACAACACGAGTCGGTCGTCCGTCGATCTCTGCCCAACCGAAAATTACGCCAAGTGCCAGCGCAAGGAGGCAAGGAGGCGGCCGCAAAAAGGGTAGATCAATTTTTTGGGAACCCAAATCACTGCAGGGCGATCAATTAAAATTTTGATCGAATTTTCGTCAATTTCTTGACATGTGGCCAGGAACAGAAGCCGCATAGCCACTTCTTGGGCGCAGAGGGGGCATCAAGCATCAGGAGGCGGAGAAACTGGGGAGCTGAGACAAGGCGAGATCAATGTAAGCTAAAATTGTTGGCCTAAGGCCAAAGTATGGGCTCTGTCTGCGGGTTGCCGGCCATTCAGCCATCATCCTGTGCACAGTAAGAAATTATTGATTAAATATTATGATACTATAAAAATATAATGTTTCTTAGATATTTACTAGTAACTAAGTTTACTACGTTTTATTAAGAAACTTGTGGGTTACCTCAGGCAGAGGTAATGAAGTACTTGCTAGAGGTTACACTATTTCCCACAGTGCACCTCGACTCTACCTTGACTTGGCCAACTGCTGTTGCATAGTGAATGAAATTGATTAAAGCGTAAATGAATTTTTGCGGGCCTAAATCGCCGCTGATGGCCAAGAGGAAGAGGTGGGGTGACCGGCGATGATTATAACACAAGATCGATTGCTGCTTGTCGCTGATCGCTAACTCGATGCGGCTACTGTGGAAAGCAGAGACGCCGCTGAGCTACCGATACCCATTCTGGGAGCCCTTATTAAGTTTCTGAACATGTTTTCAAAAACCGAAGGATCTCCTTGCTGCTGCTGCTGTTTTTATGCCCTCATTTGACAAACTAGCCAGGGGCGACGATCGACCTGGACTGGGAGACCTGGAACCTGGAACCTGGACCCAAATGGGATCAAAATGGATCGATGGCTCGGCTCGATTTAAGTTTATCCGCACGATCAGCGCCAAAAAGCCAATACCCAGCGAATGCCAATGCCATAATTTTTTGCCAATCCTCACGCAACGGGCAACGGGAATAAAAAAGCGGCGGGTCAGGAATCAGAAATCGGGAATCAGGAATCCTTAGCCTTAGAATCTGATGGAATTCCATGCGTGCTCAGCCAGCATAAACTGTAAAAACGGTAGCCACAGCGAGACGCTATAATTATTGGTCTCGATCTGGAAGGGTTAGTGGGAAAATGTGGTAGCACAAATATGGTTCACAAAGGAGCTAGTTCTGATCAAGATTTGAGAGATTTTTTGCTTATAGATATTAGAAGATTCTGATATATAACATATTTTTGAGAACTCTGTTTCACTGTCTTAACCCATATGGAAAATAATTAGGCGCCAGTAAGTGAAACAATTAATGGAGCTGCCGCCCAGCTTGGAAGTCGGTCAGAGCTTGGACTAAGTGCCATTGCTGATTTCGCTTTTGGATTCGATTCTCCGTCATCAATTGCCGCTTTGTGGGGGCTTGGTCTCCGTCTTGGACTCCGACTGGGAATGGGAATGGGAGTGGGACCTGGTCAGGGGGCTGGCTTGGACTGGCACTGACTGCGTGTGTGTGATGTAGCTTTGTGACGGGGCTTTCTGCTCTTTAATGGACTGGAGACGAGAGCCACATTAATTTAGTTACGCTTCGACAACGATCTCGAGTCGGCGGAGATCTCTGCATCATTAAAGACAATTTCGTGATTCGCCACGATTTGTGCAGCAAATTACTTGCTAAATTATAGAAAGCAAACACTGGCCGCTTTGAGGCGCTTGAGGGCAGGCACCGAGCTCACAAATCAATAGAAATCAACGCCTGTCAGGGCTGAGACGATTCTCATGGCCATTGTTGACTTAATCAATAAAGCGAATTTGGGTTGTTTTCTATTTCTATTTCGAATCAAAGTGGAGTGAAGTGGAAATTTCACCCGATATCGATCATTTAGCCGGGCAAACAAGCGACAAATGGGAAATCTGGCCTTAGTAACTCATTGTGTGTGTCTTCTCTTCTCTTCTATTTTGCAGAGTCAGGCCTTGGCCTTAACCAGAGCTGCCAACGCGGCCGCCGTTGTGGCCGCCGCCAATGCCAAGTCGCCCGTGGCCTCCTCCGCCTCGGCCAGTCTGGCGGACTTGGCTGTCAAGAAGGAGCACTCTCTGTCCCCGCCCCACAGCGTTGTGGGTGTGGCTGGTGGCGAGGATCAGCACCGACGCTCTTCGCTGCAGGGTGTGCAGGAGAAGCTCACCCAGTTGCAGATGCAACAGCAACAGCATCTCCATCAGCAGCAGCAACAGCAACAGCAGCAGCAGCAGCAGCAGCTCCACCATCACCAGCAGGCTCAACAGGGCTCCCTTGGCGGTTCCGGAGGAGGACCAGGAGGAGTCCCTGGAGAGGTGGCCGGCCGAAGGTCCAATGAAGGGACACCACCCTCCTCGCACCCCACGCACAACTCCGAGGGACAGGCGCTATCCACCTCGACGGCCTCATCTAGTCAGAATGCCACGCCCAAGAGTGACCGCGACAGGGAGCGGGAAAGGGAGCGAGAGCGGGAGCGGGAGGAGCGTGTGGAGCGTGGCAGCATCTCCTGCCTGCCACCTGCCGCCCTGGGCATGGCCGTGGGCGTCCAACAGGCCCAACAGCAGGCGGAGAAGTTGCTCAGCCATCCGGCCTTGGACTCGCGACGGGAGTTCGATGTCAGCAAAGTGAATCGTGAGTAATGGAAGCTTTGGTTTTTGCCATTAATTTAAGGAAATATTAATTGGGGGAAATTTATTATTATTAGTAAAATTTTTTTTGAGCAACTCTATTTTCTCACTTCGATTGCATTAGTTTTAAAATAGATACGAAACACAATGGCAATGCCTTGTTCATTATCTTGGCTTCCATCAGTGATTATAGATAGATTATGATAGATATGGAACAGAAATGTATACATGGGAATCACAGTGACTGCGCAGATAAGATACAATCAAATGTTGTGATTCACTTGGGATTATTTTAAGTGTGTCATTATTAATTTTATTTTATTTAATTTTGTTTTTTCGTGGCTAATAATTGCTTAGAGTAGCTGGGATTACGAACTGCCATTGATTTAAAATTAAAATTATTGTGAATTTGTAATTACAAAGAGTAGGTGGGAGTGCTGCCATAAATAATGAAATTCAATATTATTCATAATCCAATGCATGTGTGTGCTGTGTGTGAGAGAACAGAAAAGTAGGGGAAAATATCTCGGGGAAAACACTTTAAAGACACAAACTTTAATCAGGCCAGCCACAGCTGGGATGGCAAATGGAAATGGCCGAGGCATTTCCTTTTGCCTCAACGAAGCCGGCTTAATCCATGAAAAGTTCATTTGATTTGCTCACAAGGCATTAAGCACGTATCCCACAGATACTCGTACAGCACATGCACACGTTCCTTGAGCTATGTCCGTGGTAATCTTGTTTGGTTCATCAATAGTTTAGCCATGGCCAGAAGTAAACCTGTGCCACCTCGTTGCGAATGCATCCATCGAATGCGAATGCGAGTGCGTGTGTGCGAGTATCTGCCGGATATAAATGGAAACTGTGAAGCCTTTTGCATACCAACAATATCTAGTTCGAACACAAGGGAACTTCCTTCGCTCTACACACAGTCAGAGCCACAGATACAGATACAGATACAGATAGAGATACAGCTACAGATACAGCTATGAGCACACAACACTCGTATATGCATCGAAATCCCCTGGATTAAGCATATGAAGCATTCATAACGTTTATTCTATGTACGGATGTGTTTGTATCTCAGTCTGTTTCTGTTTCTGTTTCTATGGCCCCTCGTTGGTGTGTGCAAACAAACATTCGCCGCTTCTGGTTAGAAAGTGGGTGGTGTGCGGTGTGCGATGTGTGTGTGGTGTGTGGGCGAGAGTGCCTGGGTGGGTGTTAAGTGAACACACACTTGTGGAGTCATTTGCGGGGCTTGGTCTGCATCCCAGGAAGCGTGCTTCGCTTCTGTTTGTCCTGGCTTCAGTCTCGGCTCTCGGCTCAGCTTTCGGGCATCCCCTGCGTATACGCAATCTGGCCGTATGAGAGAGCACGTGTGTGTGTGTGTGGGTGTGTGGTAGCAACAGGTGGCAGTATCCGTATCCGGCGACTTGACGCCAGTTTCAGGGCCAATTTGTGGCCTCGCCTTGGCATAATATTTCGTGCGAAACAATTGACTTGAGCGATAAACATTATTGTTAATATTTCAGGGGTTCCGAATTAATACCTTTCAGCCATCCCTTTCAGGCGACACATTCCCGAAAATGCAACTCTAATAACACATACTCAGTGACCATTGCCTAAAGGGGATTTGATTTGAATTTCGTTGTGAATTTGTGAATGTCTCGCTTGGTTTTTGTGCGTGCCAGTGTGTGTGTGCGTATCTATGTAATGTGCTTTGTTGCATATTTTGAGGATTTGCACAACAAAACGTGGATGGAATGGGATGGGATGGCAGGGTATCCAACGGATGCAGGATCCAACGATGGGGCTCAATGCAGTTTGGTTTGCTTATTGTTGCCATCATTTGGTTGTTGTTGCTGCCGCCTGTTGTTATTATTGTCATTTAACATTGCCATTTTCGAACAGCTGTGTGTGAGCTCCATATGTAAATCTGTTTTGTTTCGTTTGCGTTTTGTTGTGCATTGTGTGTGTGTGTGTGTGTGTGCTGTGTGTGTGCGTGTTTATTGCGCCTAAGCTGCTCAGCGACGCAACACGATATTTATCCTGCCCCCTGGATTCGACCACCCTCCCTTCCACACCCCTGCAACGATTTCCATCTGTTTTTTCCAATACGAGAGTGGAGTATTTCGGGGTATTTCAGTTTTTGGTACTATTTTTATGTGCCTGCGTTGCGTTGCGCTTCGATTTATGCAGAGTTTAGTATGCAACATTTTCATACGTTAGCCTTAATAAATCCCCAGCCGGCTGCACTTGTCAATATGCAGGCTTGGTCCCCTGCACCACCCCCCACCCCGGCTTGACCCGGACAGTGTCCTGCAGATGCCACACTGTTGGCACCTATAAGCCTATGCACACACACACACAGAGGCGTCGCGCTCTGCAATTGAAAATCACTGCGCCTTAGTTAACGACACGTTTGTGGATCAACGCGTTCGGGAAACGAGACAACCAACCAACCTCCCACCCACACACCCACTTGACCTGACCCTGGACCCGCTGCTGTTGCAGTTGCTGGTGCTATTGAATCATTGTTGTGCCCCAACCCCGCCAAAAGTAGAGCAACAGCGGCATGTGTCATAAGCCAGCAGCAGCAGCAGCAGCAGCCGCCATGAATTTCAGGAGGAGAGGACTCTGTGGACATAAGCACGCGCTCAAGGATTCAAAAAATGGGCACCCATTCGATCGGCTATTATGCAGATGTCATTGCGCCGGGATTGTATAATGAGATGGTTCGGGATGGGTTCTCTGGCCCAAAGAACCCACCGATAAGCCATGATGGACGCACAAGTGTCGGACGCCAAGTCGGGGGCAGTAACTTTGCCGTGGAGAGTGGTGCTACTGGTAATCAAGCGACACAAAAGCATTGCACAGCTCCATGCTGCAGGATAAGAGATACACTCAAAGCAGGGCCAGCAATTTTCGCAATCACACTAGGAGCTGGCTGCCGACTCACCTGTGAGAGGAGACCCGGCTAAGTCCTAGCCCAATGGATTCGATGGGGCAAAAGAGCAGGTGGAGCCAGGTGGGCGGCTGAGCGGCAGCAGCTTAAGTGTTAAGCGTTATGCACAGTGGCCAGTCCGGAGCTGAATGATACCACTCACCGGATGCCACCTAAGCCGGTTCCCAAAAACCCACATCCCCATTCCCATTTCCATTCCCATTCCCATTCCCAGTCGCAGTCGCAGTGCCAATCCCAATATCCCCCAGCATATGTGCTGGTGCCGGGGCATAGATGCAGATGCGGATACAGCTATACTACAGATACAGCCTCAGATTGAGATACAAATTCGAATAAATGCCAAAAGCAACAGGAGGCAGCATTTCCGAATTATAAGCAAAAAGGGATTGGCCGGGCCAACAGTAGCAGCAACAACAACAACAGCAACAACGGAGTAAAAGCCGGTTGTAGCCAACCAGCCACACTAACACACACAAACACGCAATTGCACACACATGCGAAAATGTATATGTATATACATATATATATGGCCAGGACATAGCCAGGAGCTGAAGGCAGGTGCTGCAGGTGATGCTGATTGAGTTAAGCCACCATCACCATCGAGTGCACTGGAAAGTTTAGAGTACTTAATGGGGAAGATTTTTTAAAGGATACTTTAATATAGAGATTGATCATAAATTGATCATAGATTGATTGTAGATTGATCGTAGATTGAGCTCTTTATAATATAGGTTTGTTAGAGTTAAATTAAATCAATTGATCTGTTTAATGAAGTACTAAAAGTATCTGCTAATTCCATTATTATTATATCTTTTAAAATATCCCTAGCTTAAACTCTCTTTTTAATTATTTTTTAAAGCTATTCAAATTATGAATATCTGCCTATACTCACATTATTTTTTTGCGTGTTCCAAAAGAGATATTTACTGGGTGGCTGGCACCTCCATTTTCTCCAACTTGCCCCTTTATCCCTCGCACAAAGAGAGCTACAAATTTAAAGGATTTAAATGTTGCCAGGAAGAACAAATCGAACTCTCGAAGCAGCCACCACAATAGAAGAAGATGAGCCCGAAAGCCCACTTCTCCCACCGGCAACGTGCTACTTGCTACTTGCTACTTGCAACATGCAACGTGCAACGTCCCCAGAGCTAGCTCGAAGCCAGCACCGAGCGGCTTAAGGCTCTCTCTGTGCGCTTTGGTTTATAATCGAATAAATACTCCCTGTGTGTGTGCGCCGTGTGATTATCAAAACAGAAACTGCTGGCTGTGTTGTCAGGAACTGCAACTATAAATCACTTGCATTAACTTTGAGCGCTTTTGTGCGAGTAAATATACCGAGTGCGTATCTATTAATACGCAAGTGGAATTATGCCGGTAGCACACTTGTAATTAGACAACTACAACTAAACTGCAACTAGGTCTGTCATTTTTGCTTGTTCGATTATGAATATTATAAGACTCCGGAGGCTCGGCATTTTAGCAGCTGCAACTGGGATTTTCCATAAGCTCTGAGTGGAAGGACACAGCATACACACACTCTTAAGCACTTTCTTAGGCATCCTTTCTGCGATTTTATTAAACCCCATAGCAAATGCCAGTGTGCCAATTAATGCTGCTGCTAAAGCGTTTATTTCCTCTCACTTAATATTGAATTTTCCCCAGCTCCTAGCCACATTCAATATTCTCCTTTAACTCTATTTTAACACACACACACACACACACGGATGAGTGTACACTCACATAAAGGGTATTAGGGGAATTAGGAAAATCGCTGGGCGAGAGCAACTAATGCGAATGCAACTGGGCGCTTTCATAATCCACAAGCGAAAACAAAATCATCATCATCATCATCATCATCTTGATAGTCAAGGAGCCGGGGCAGGAGCAACCACCCAAGGACATTAGCCGAAAGCATCAAGTTTGCGACTTATCCTTCGACCTAAGCCTCCTGAACCCGGTGAATATTCAGCCCCGAAAAAGGGGTAGCTCCTGCTCTGCCTCTCCCTCTACCCCTCTCGGTTTCTCGGTGTGTCCTGGTC